GCAATGTTTTCAGGGGAGGTCACTCTAAGCGACTCTTTTTTTGGAGCCCAACAATAACCTCCCTTTTGAACCCATACGCCATTTGCAATGTTGTTAGGGGAGGTTACTCTATTCAACTTTTGTTTTGACTTGATACAAAGTAGATATGTCCTGTTTAAAGTTCTATACACTATAGGTGGTAACAATATAAATACGCAGAAAGTCCGAGCGGGGCCAAAGGCCCCGCGAGGGCTGTAGCGCTCTTAGATAACATGTATGACGCGTATCAATTCAAATGAAATCAAATTAAAAGTAAATGAAAATTTCAAAAAATATATATCCTATACCTAATGAAATGTGAAAAAATCCTTAGTTAACTTGGCGCCGCCAATTTGAAATCTTTTTGAGCTAAATATAGATATATCAGCGCTTTTAATGAGCGTCTACATAATTCAGACTATTGCTAGCAGACGCATGCTTAATAACACTTCCGGTAAAAGAATGATGTACAAAATCAGAAAATAAACATTCATTTCATTCATAAGAACTATAGTAACGATGGTAAATGTAAATACTTTTAAATCCTTTTTGATAAATTAGCACATTAAACTAACGTAAAACAACAGACGTGATAAGAGATTATTAAAAAATGGCGGACGGGATTTTCCAAACGCCGACGCATGCGCAGTGGACGCTCTTCCGATGATAGGTTGAACACCACCAATTTATTCCTTTCTGTTTACTGTACAAAATACCTGCATTTACTTATTAACGAATTGCATGATATATCTGGTTATCATGTTATGCTTAAATCATAAATCAGAAGAGCTTTCCGCGCCATAGGTAGCACCTAATTTCATATTCATAGTGCCATTAAAAACTGACAGTTTTTTTCGAACGAAATCAGTCTGTTATTAGTTTGACTACCTGTAACATAAACAGGGAAGGACTGAATATGAAAAGAATTTTCATTGGTCATTTTAGATTATATATGAAAAAGGCACAGCTACAAAGCGAGCTCGATTCACTTTTAATTAAATAGTATCGTTCATTTTTATTTTACATTTTTTGTTTTAAAATTCTCATTCGGTATTTTATACACTGCTTCCGTTTATTCTGGTTCCCTGACCTATAATGGTTTTACATGAGTTCGCAGGACACCAGTCTACGAGTCCGTTTTCAATCAGAATACCTCGGCTTTTATCGTTATCTTGTAATTCGAAAAATTGCGATGTGTCAATGACGAAAGTTTTCAAAGCCATCACTATCTAGCAGGTACTTGCGTTACCGTAAAGCTAGCTTTGCTAGCAGGCCCTTCGGGCCAGCTTTTCGAGCTTGCTACAATTTGAAATCGGTAAAAGTCATTAGTCATTCTTAAATAAAATGTAAAGGATAGTTCTAACCATCTTAAAGTAAAACGTTAAGGATAGTTGTAACCATTCTAAAATAAAATTTTAAGGATAACTCTAAAATAAAATGTAAGAGATAGTTTTGCTACTATAAAATATAATATAAAGAATAGTTCTAAAATAAAATGTATAGGAATGAGGATAGTTCTTAACGTTTTGGTTAAATTGTCAATGATTTCAAAATTTATAAAGTCTAGCATAAAACAAGTTAAAGGGACACCTAAAATAGAAGCTGTCCTACTTTGCAAAATCATCAATATAAATATGCTATAATTTAATTTCAATACTTACAAAATGGGTTTATCCTTAGCTACAAGAAATAACTATTATGTCATTGTTATGAAAGTTTTCTTTTTGTTTTAAAAACTTAGAAATAACATAATTTTGCATGTTAACCAGTTTTACTTCGGCCGAGTATCTTTTTAAAAGATACTTCTTGTTTTATATAAGACAGGTTGCATGGCCTTATTTAAACGGTTGTTTGTAAATATTACCCAGCCGCCAGGCGAGGGTTAAATTGCAAACAACCGTTTATTTACGACCAATTAACCTGTCAGGAATATTTATAACGAATTTATAATGTTTTGAACTTCCTTTTTAAAGAGTAAAAGTAAGATTTCCAGCTCGTGAAAATATATCGAATTTGATCATGTTTCGTGAAAATAGTCCATATTTCACTCAATCGAAAAACATTTTCTTAATATTTCTTTAAAACTAAACCCATCGTCGCTGTCGTTGTAATATCATAATCATTATCATGATAGTAATACATGTAATCATTGTCACTGGTATATATCGATCGTTTTCTTTTAACTTACATTAGAAAAAAATAATTCTAGATTATTTATGATGAGACCATTTACATATATACATGTACGAGTACATAATCCATTTATTAAGCGTTTACATTGTATACTAAGCAAAGTTATGGACTAACTTGAATCTTAATTTATTGTCCTTATATGTGTTTAAATAAATAAACAGACTACTAGTATTCAAAATAGATACTATGACGACTGAATGTTCGTTATTTACATTCATTTAGATATTTGCAATTTCAATATTTCGTCCATGAAAGTAACATTTTCAAGTTTGAATCTTGAGAGTATTGTAACCTGAAAAAATGAGGGAGGGTATTGAGAAGAACCTCGGCCGGAATATTAGCTTTGGCTGAGTAAAGTGTTTAAAATATCTGATTTCCACTTGCAACCTTTCCTGCACAATCGTCAGTCTCTGCTGTTCTCAGTCGTTTTTCCTCTGTTACTAGTCTTGTAGTTTCTATTTTAAGTTTTTCCCTTTCAATAGTAATCACGTGAGTTTCATAGGAACTTTCTGCATTTCGTCTTGGTTTACGTTTTGTTATATGGCCATTTCTTCCTGCTTCGCGGTATTCAAATGATTACATAATTTAATCGGCAATTTTCCTCTCAAGTGAATCAACAAAACGGTGTGTTTTTTTTTGCCTCTGAGGTTCTGGTCAATTTCAATCGGATGTTGTCTATAGCAGGTCATGCATGTAGATATGTATCTTCCGTCTTCATCAACAAGGGAAACAACTCGAACAACCAAAGATATATCAAGACAACTGAATAATCGACCTTGTTACATAATAATAATCACATGTGACATTTCCCCTTTAGCTTAGAAGTTAGATTGAGCTGCACATCGTGAAAATGGATGATAAACAATGAAAAAAATGTTGGACATGAGTTGGTGTTTTGACTTTTAGTAAAACACAGCTCAGTATAATATAATATGCTTTATGGCTGTCATCATTATTAAAGATTAGAAGAAAAAATACTTCTCAAGTTCAAGTCAATTAAGGTAAGGAGTTGAGTTCATGCAGTTCAGTTATGTGACAGTTATAGTTGCAAATTTCAGATCGCTACAATGCCACGCTTATGGAGACCTTAACACGCTCCGGGTCCATTTTTCGTCTCCGCAGCAGCAAATTACTTAAGGACGCATCTCCGATGTGAAGGCACTATCATCCACCTTCCAACTTTATTTACTTTGTATTAGTCTTCATACTGTCTTCAATAAATATCTGTATCCATGTCATTCTATGTCTACAATTTGTACCTGGCCAGTAATATTTTGTGATTTAAATGGCCCAATCTGATATTCTTATACGTTGTATATACTGTAGGCTTTGCCAGTTTATTCTTACATTTATCTTTGTCATGTTGTTGCATTGTGTTTGTTGTTAATGTTTAATTCATGCCGAACCGGGCCTAGTTCTGAATAAAAGTTGAAAATTGACAAACACATATGATGTGTTGATTATAATGCATGTATATTTGTTAAATTACTTGTTAAATGATATTTGAAACAAATTAAATCATGTTTGCTGTTGGACTAACTCTTATTGAGACAATGGAATAGTAATTATTGTTTAATCATGTTGTGTAAGTATGTGTGTTTTATATATTGTTTAGTAAGCCATATTGTGATTTAACATTTAAGATAAGTTATTTGATGTTTACGATAATACATCTTCATGTGTTACCTTCTTCTAAATAAAGATCTTTTTAGTATTTGCTGATTAGCTGAGTGGTAAAGGTTGTTGACTTCAAACCCCCCCCCTTACCGTTGTGGGTTCAAATCTCAAAAGAGGCTTTGGAAAATTTCATGTAAGGAAGCTTTTCAGCTAGCGGAACGTCGGTGCTTCTACTCAGGTGCCCGTTCGTGTAAAATAATGCACGGAAGGGCACCTGACGTCTTCCTCCATCAGTAAAGCTGGAAAGTCGCCATATGACCTATACCGTGTTGGTTCGACGTAAAACAAAACCATAATAGATTGAAAAACGATGAAAAGTCGATACTAATAGAATGTGTTATCTTGATTTTTTTTATATTTTGTACATTATTTTTACACTATTTATCCGTCACTGGGTCAGATTGTTTTGACGAATAAATGACAAAAGGTGATCCCTCGGAAGCATTAATCACAACAATATTAATTTACATGAAAATTGCAGACTCGGTTTGATTTACTCTGTATATGAGAAAGATAATGGCGCATTGGTTGAAATAATATACTTTAACTGGAAAACTTATTTTTGTGACATACTGCGCCATATCCCTAATCCCATCGAAAATTGTTATCATTTAAAATCCAAATTTTTAACAGAGTCAGCAGTTCCTTATCATGATCATTAGATGTAGACTTTGGAGTCTCAAGTGCAATACTCGTCAATGTTCATCTGCTTACGTATCGATCATTTCTCTATGTTCTGACCGTTTGATTGATTTTAAAATACACGAAATGTGGTTTTGTGCAGCTTTTGGTTTAGTTTAAGCATATTTAATTTTAGCGCAATTGCGGAACAAGTCTTGCAACTTATACTAACCACGTTCCAGTCCGCTTCCTGGAACTAACCGGTACTGGTGTCATATGAAGAAACATAGTCGTGACCCAAGTAGGGCGAGGACCCATGATCCCTGGGTTGAGAGGCAAATACCTTAAGCACTAAGCCACCACTCTCTGTGAATTATCATAAAAATACTTCCTCGTTGTATCAATCCATTCAACGGATTGATCGTATAACCAAATTTAATTAAACTTTTTTTAAAAACCGTAATTTGTAGAGTTTATAAACCGATCGATCGATTATTAAAACTAGTCGAACTCGTCCGAGTTTACAATTCATTTGTCTCTGCTTTCATGGAGCAGATTTAACAAAAAGCATTCATATTTATTTAAACTTTGGTATAACTATAATAATTGTATTTTTGTTTAAAATCTAAACTGAAAAGTTAAGGACATACAACTAAGTTATAAAGATATTTGGATTGAATCAAGACAAATATTGTTTTTTGAAAATGTCGTCACAACGATTAGAACAGGAACTAGAATGTCCGATCTGTCTGGAAAGGTTTGATACACCAAAAGTGTTGCCATGTCAACATACATTTTGTGCTGATTGTCTTATAAACATTACACAAAGGTAAGTTTAACTTTGAATCGATCTATATTTAGACCATTTTTTATTTATACCGTTTATTAGTTTTGTTGAGCCGTATTTACATGTACAAACGTGACTAAATAATTAATCGACGGTTACTAATTTCTAAATTAATTTAGCTGTTGTGTAAATAAAATGCAACATGGTGTCGTTTTGAAAGAAAAAGATATTAATTCTTGTGGTTGCTATTCACTGAATTAATTCATTAATTTCGACTATGTTTATTTACTTTAATTGATAACGTGCATCCCTCTATTTATAAATGAGTATATCTATATCTTTTTGTGCCGCCTCTTTGGGGGCGGGGGGTAGATTTACCCTTGTTCGTCCGTCCGTTCTGATTTTGGGTCGCACGTAGCTCAAAAATTATTTGACCTGCAGTCATAAAACCTTACAGGAATGTTGCTCAGCATGTGAAGTTGTGCACCTAGGTATTTTTGTGTGGATTTATTTACCATTCTTAGAGTTATTGCCCTTGACTAAGTAAAAATTTGCAATTTTCAAGTTGTGATGCACATAATTCAAAAAGTATTGGTCCTAAAGTCATGAAACGTTACAGGATTGTTGCTCAGCATGTGAAGTTGTGCACCTGGAAATTTTCCTGTGGGTTTTGTTAGTTTTTTAGAGTAATTGCCCCTGACTTAGTAAAAATTCGCAATTTTCAACTTGTGTCGCACGTAACTCAAAAGTCATTTGACCTAGGGTTATAAAACCTTACAGGAATGTTGCTCAGTATGTAAAGTTGTGCCCCTGTGTATTTTCGTGTTGATTTATTTAGTATTTTTAGAGTTTTTGCCCTTGACTTAGTATAAATTTGCAATTTTCAACTTGTTCATGCATAGTAGGTCAAAGGTATTTGTCCTGTAGGCCTGAAAGTTTCCCTTTACTTAGTAAAAATTGTTTAGTTTTTTATCTTCAGGCTCATGTAGCACAAAAAATATTTGACATAGAGTCATTGGCAAAACAGTGGAGTGTTGGGGTACCCGTGTCCTATGGACACATTTCTAGATTAAGTGTAGGTTGCTTAGATATGATAAAAACGGGAGTCTTAGAGGTTCAATATATTGATGTATATGTTAACCTGATATCACATACATTGTAACATGCAAGGTTTTTAAAACGTTCAGGTCTATAACAATGGTTCAGTTGACACATTTTGCATTTATAAATAACCAATACTTAAAACTAATCAATTAATAGCAGGGGCGCTAATCAGCGTGTTTTCGCTTTGCGCCCCGTCGTTTCATTTCTTAAATCAACTTTTTTTTGTATTTAACTAACTTCGCTCCTGTCATTTTGACTTGTTAATTCTCGACTTTTCGCTCGGTGGGATCGCGGGGCGAAAACACGAATGACACAAACCAGCCACCATAGTTATGTGCTAAGTTAGATCACAGATTTATACTAGAGATCCGAGGTTAAACTTATGATTTGAATTATATTTTTCATACATATTGCATGAGGTCAATATGAAGTTTTAATTCTGAAGATAATCTTCTGAAGTTTTAATGTAATTATGGTGGCTTATTTCTAACAACAGTTAACCATATAATCATCGCGTTAACTATCTGACTAACTAGTTAGGTTTTGTGTTAACATGATACATAACATATATTTAACTGAAAACTTTTCTAGTTATACAGATACTTAAGTTAAAACAGTTAAGTTAAGTTAAACACAAAAGTTTCATAGATGGACAGATAATTATCTGTTATTTAACTGGTAAGTGTTGGCAGTTCTGGGCACTTTAGTGTTTTTAGAAGTTAAATACTTATTCGTTATTTTTCTATCTAACAAAAGAAATTATCGTATATTAATTTTGTGTAAATTCTTGTTGTGTGCCAATTATTTTTTATTTGGTTTCAGGGGAAGCGTGTGTTGCCCAGAATGTCGGGTAGTCCATCCCGTTCCTCCCAATGGATTACCTATCAACATCGCTATTCAAAGACTTCTATCAACGTCCAAGCCGTCAAAATAATGTTCCAACAGTTAACGTGCCAAAAAATGTTCCACGAGAAAGCGTGGGAGTCAGTATAAAAATCACAAGATTCAGATGGCACGTACACTACACCACATAAAATATCATTTATAATAATTTACTTTCAGTTATCTGTTTAGACAGTAAAAACATTATAATAAGTTTTTCTTTCCGATTTAACACTGCGCACCACAAATGAAATTTTCATATTTATTAACATAATTGAATTATTATTAAAGGTGTTTTTTAATCATTTGTCATATTTTGTTATTGTTTGTTTTATTTTGTTCGACTTTATCTAACACGATTTTCAACGATAGTAATAACAACATAAACTATAAATGGTTTAATGAAAGTTGTAAACAAAAATAAATTGCATATGAAAATGCAGTATCGCAATTCAATGGTAACAAAACTGCTGAAAATAAAGAAATGTTTTCTTGTAAAAAACAAATTATAAGTACCGCTGTAGAAAGTAAAAGGAATTTAAAAAAAAACAGCAACAACCATTATTGAAATGACGAATAAAAAATATTTTGAGTCATGTTGCACAAAGAAATTTCTATATTTTCAAAGGGCAGTAAAATTCTACTCGCGAGTTTTATTGAGCTTTGATATAGACCTCCAATTATGATCCAAAGACATATATAACGTTTCATGTAAATATGTTCTTTTTTCTTTCGATAACTGGTGTTATGTGTTTAGGTTCCAAATGAATACCTCCAGAATTTGCTTGCAAAGCTTTGAACAAGAATTTTCTAACCTCAAAAAAGGCCATTACTCAGTCTAAATCTAAAGTAGATTCATTGGGCTCGGAGAGTAACCTCCATTTATAATCCCGAAAACATATACATTTGTATTTGGTTCAAATTAATGCCTTCAACTTTAAAATCTGCTGTTACACACTAAAACTTCAAGGACTCTATCGAGGAAATTTGGCATGACAGGACTGGAAATATTGTTTCGATTAATGTTCCATTAGATGAAGGTCTAGCTCAGAAATTAAAATGTAAAGTTACAGGTCATGCGCTATCTCTGTTTTCCCAGAATAAATTATTCTAATTGTGGAAAATTACCCAAACTTAAAAAGCATTTCAACGCTGTTCACTCAAATCAGGGTAAGAAAAGCACAAAGTATGATTTTTAATTTATTTCTTAGTATATTTCTTTATATTTCTGTTTTAAGTGCCCCAGCTGATCTATGAAAAAAATCATTTTTTCTTCATTTTTTAGGCTTTTGGTTCTCAGTGGAGTTACTTTGACCAAGAATTTTCCGAGCTCACAGAGATCAATTAAAATCAATGTCAGAGTCTGTTGATAGTGACCTGTGTTTTTGGTCACGACTACATGCATTTAGATAAAGTAAAAACCATAATTCTGGTTTTTGATGAATTTTGTTTTGGAAAGTGATATTCAGTTATGATCCCGTGGACATGTATTTAGTTTCAAATGAATACCTTCAGTATACGTGATCATAAATCTTCAATGATATTGCATGAAAACATTGAGCAAGAACGTTATGACTATGACAGAAAGCTCAGTTAGGGTCCAGGTTCCAATAAACAAGGACTTAGATTTATCTAATATTTTACATTTAATGTGCCTTTTTGATTGACAAAAAAATCAGGCCAGGGTTTCTCGGGGGCTCCCCGGTGGATCCATGCCAGTTATTACCATATTAGCCTAATTAACATGGAAAAATCTCATAAATAAATGGTCAACTCAATTTTGTTTCTCTATAAAAATGTTCAATTTGAGACATATCTTACTCTTATAGCTAAACAGTAGTTGAATACCTTGGTTAACAACCAGTACGATCGTATTTATCTAGAATATAGATTGAAGTCCAGTATGACAGAATTCACGATGCCGAAATAAAATTGAAACACACAGATGTGGTATGTTTTACCTCCGTGCCATTTCCTGAAAATATAGGAACTTTGAGCCGAAAGAGGATAACTGTACAGCGGGCAGTCTTAGCGCAAATAACCTGTGAAAATAATAAAGGAGGTAGCCCTTGTTACGGCTGTTGGTGCCATGCAAAGGGCCTGCCTTTCAATCCGTCACCGGGCCTTGTTTTGACGAATAAATGACAAAGGGTGATCCCTCGGAAGCATTAAATCACAAAAATATTACATGAAAATTGCAGACTCGGTTTGATTTACTCTGTATATGAGAAAGTTAATGGCGCATAGGTTGAAATAATAGTTTGACTTGAAAATTTATTTTTGTGACGTATTGCGCCAAATTCCTCATCCCATCGAAAATTGTAACAGTTGTCATTTAATATCAAAATTCTTAACAGAGTCAGCAGTTCGTTATCATGATCAGTAGATGTAGACTTTGGAGACTCAAGTGCCTTATTCGTCAATGTTTTTAAGTTTTCTGCTTACGTATCAATCATTTTTAGGATCGTTGAATGTCCGTCGTCCGTCCACACTTGTTCGTTAACACTCTAGCGGTCCCATTTTTGCCTCAATCATCATCAAACTTGGTCAGGATGCTTATCTAGTTTATAGCTCGGATGAGTTTGAACATGGGTAATCTCGGATGAAAAACTAGGTCACCAGAGCTAAAAATAGGAGTACCTTGTTAACACTCTAGCGGATCAATCATCATCAAACTTAGTCAGGATGCTTATCTAGTTGATAGCTCGAATGAGTTCGAACATGGGTCATCCCGGATGAAAAACTAGGTCACCGGAGCTAAAAATAGAAAAACCTTGTTTACACTCTAGCAATCACATTTTTGACTCAAGTGTCATCAAACTTGGCCAGGATGCTTGTTTAAGTGATACCTCGAATGAATTTTAATATGGGTCATCTCGGATGAAAAACTAGGTCATAGGAGCTAAAAATAGACAAATCTTGTTAACGCTCTAGCGGTCACATTTTTGACTCAAGTGTCATCAAACTTGGCCTGGATGCTTGTCTAGATAATTGCACGGATGAGTTTGAACATGGGTCATCTCGAATGAAAAACTAGGTCACAGGAGCTAAAAATAGAAAAATCTTGTTAACACTCTAGTGGTCACATTTTTGACTCAATTGTCATCAAACTTGGTCAGGATGCTTGTCTAGGTAATTGCTCGGATGAGTTCGAACATGGGTCATCTCGGATGAAAAACTAGGTCACAGGAGCTAAAAATAGAAAAATCTTGTTAACACTCTAGTGGCTACTGTTTTGATCCAAATATCCTGGAAATTGGTCTGAAAGTTTGTTTTGATGATTTCTAGGTCAAGTTCGAATATGGGTCACCTGGGGTCAAAAACTAGGTCACACCGCCCAAATATGGAAAAACCTTGTTAACACTCTAGTGGTCACATTTTTGACTCAATTATCATCAAACTTGGTCAGGATGCTTGTCTAGGTAATTGCTCAGATGAGTTTGAACATGGGTCATCTCGAATGAAAAACTAGGTCACAGGAGCTAAAAATAGAAAAATCTTGTTAACACTCTAGTGGCTACTGTTTTGATCCAAATATCCTGTAAATTGGTCTGAAAGTTTGTTTTGATGATTTCTAGGTCAAGTTTGAACATGGGTCATCTCGGATGAAAAACTAGGTCACACCGCCCAAATATGGAAAAACCTTGTTAACACTCTAGTGGTCACATTTTTGACTCAATTATCATCAAACTTGGTCAGGATGCTTGTCTAGGTAATTGCTCGGATGAGTTCGAACATGGGTCATCTCGCATGAAAAACTAGGTCACCGGAGCTAAAAATAGAAAAATCTTGTTAACACTCTAGTGGCTACTGTTTTGATCCAAGTATCCTGGAAATTGGTCTGAAAGTTTGTTTTGATGATTTCTAGGTCAAGTTCGAATATGGGTCACCTGGGTAAAAAACTAGGTCACACTGCTCAAATATGGATAATCCTTGTTAACACTCTAGTGGTCACATTTTTGACTCACCTGTCATGAAACTTGGTCAGAATGCTTGTCTAGGTAATTGTTCGGATGAGTTCGATTGGTCAGGTGAGCGATCTACGGCCATCATTGCCCTTTTGTTCTGTGTTCTGACCGTTTGATTGATTTTAAAATAGACTGGTTTTGTAAAAGTCTTGCAACTTATAAATCACATTTGTATTCGCTTCTTTGAACCAACCAGTACTGGTGTCATATGAAGAAACATACTCGTGACCCAAGTAGGGCGCGAACCCAGAGCCAGACACCTTAACCACTAGGCCACTACACCCCTGTTCAGTTTTGTTCAATATTTTTTTTATCATTAAAATTTACTTCCTCCTTGTCTATTCAACGTATTTATCGTATAACCAATTTTAAATACTCTTGTGTTATTGTTAAACTTTTGAAAAGCCATAGATTTTCGTATTTATTATAGACCGATTGATCGATTATCAAAACCAGTCGAACTCGTCCGACTATAGAATTCATTTGACACTTTTTACATTTACATGTATCTGCTTTCATGGATAGATCTAACAAAACACATTCACATTTTTTTAACTTTAATATAACTACTATTATATCCAGAATTTAAATCAGAATTGAAAAGTTAAGGACATACAACTAAGTTATACAGATATTTGGATAAAAATCAGACAAATATTGTTTTTTGAAAATGCAACAGGAACAAGAATGTCCGGTTTGTTTCGACAGGTTTACATCGTTTAATACGCCGAAAGTGTTGCCATGTCAACATACATTTTGTGCTGGTTGTATTGTACGAATTACAGAAAGGTAAGTTTAAATTTTGAATGATCTAAATTCAGACCGCGTAACATGTTGGTATTCTAGGCTTAATGAGGTTCCATCTGCCCTTTTAGGCACTGAAAGTACGAACCCCGGACATGTCATACATGTTATTATCAACTAAAATTTTGAATAAATTTAGTGGATTTATACTGTTTTCAAGTTTTGTTGAGCCGTGTCGGACCGTATATGTCACGAAACGTATATGCCACACGTGTGGGACATATTCGGCCAAATAATCACAGATGTCTTTATGTGCCATATACGTTTCTGCAATTTGGTAATAAATGCCTGACAAAATATGTTACGCATTTTACACAATAACATCGTCGTTTTAATCTACCTTCATCAACGTTTATTATATATCATCAACAACAACAACATCATTATCATCAATGATACATCATCATCGTAAATCAGCAATATATATGTTTAAGTCCACACCGCCTCGCTTATCATTT